ATACATTTTACTTACAAAAATGTTTGAATTATTTTTTGAAATATTTATATTTAAACTTTAAAAAAATTGATTTAAAAATACATAGTCGGCGGAATCGATAGCCGGCGGAATCAATAAATAAAAAAGTTCGGCGGAATCGATAGCCGGCGGAATCAATAAATAAAAAAGCTCGGCGGAGTCGATAGCCGGCGGAATTGATATTAAAACGGAGGAATCGATAAAACCCCCAATGAAGCATCTTAAGGAAGTATACAATTATCATAAATTCATCATAAATTCACAATCTATAGAATAAAAAACATAATTAGCAAACATAATACTATATTTATGGATATTATTTATTTATAGATTTAAAATTGGTTTTGTTTTCCATGAAATTTTTCCTAAATTTATTATTTTTACTGGGAATTATTGAACTATACAGATATCTATTTGTTCGAGCACGATTAAATAATATATTCTGTGATCGTGTGTTCAGGCGATAAAGTATTAAGAATATTATGATATTGGTTTGTTATAAGTATCTACTGTAAAAAAAAAAAAAAAATAGTGGTATTAACGCAGTTTCGTTTATTTTATATTATGTCTGAGAATCCCACTTTTATAATAATGGTTAGTTGTATGGCATTTTGTAAAAATTATTTAAGATCGTTTTCCACGGTTTCAAGAATGTTTGAAAACTTAATTTGTCTCTAGTCCCTAAATTTTACCATATTTTCCAATCAGTAGTGCAAATCAATTTCTTTTTATGGTGGGCAATACTAAAAGTGTACTACCTGGCACTAGTGGTGGGCATATTCGGATTTTAAAAAATCCGAATTATTTGGATTTGTCAAATCCGGATTTCACGGATTATCCGGAGTATTCGGATTATTTAACTCGATTTTGCTGTTCAATGACTCATTTTTATATACTATTATACTAATAATATTTTAATTCTATAATATAATTTTTAGACATAGGTACTTATACACAATTTCGAACGCATTTTAAGTACCAGTGATGTTTTGCGCTTAGCTTATCAGCGCTACAGCCCACCCACCCCCAAATCAATGAGTCCATCATAAATTAGTTTACTTTTCAATTACTAATTAGTGGCCCTTTTATATTTAACATTTTTAATCGGTTCATAAGAGTTGCGTGTTGCACAATTACATCCTTTATGCAATTATACAGCAACCCATGAGTGAAATATTTATGTATTATGAATTATAATAGGTACATAATTTAGTTTATAAGTTTGGTATGCCCTCTCCGAACAATTTTAATTTTATGGTAATAGCACTGTGCCACGACTGTACCTACCACTATGCAATTATTATAAAATCAATAATGAAATTACACAAAAATGTAACACGTAGGACAAATTGTTTGTAGATGTATGTGACTGAACACTGTTTACTATAGATAATATTTTATTGATTAAAGATTAGAAATTGAAATGATTAAACCATTAAAACTAAAATAAAAAAAATAAATATTATGAAACATTAAATATTTAAAAAGTAAGAATTGTAGCCCGTCATATTTTGTAGATATATTAATTCATCTTTTATCACTATAGTATGCAATATGCATAGAGTAGATAGTTATTTGCTATTATTTACTAAAGGTAAATATTGATAGCTTACCTAAAAAAAAATATGCCATATTGTTACAGTTTATTTCTTAAACAGTTGTTCAAATTAATTCATTTTTAGTTTATCCATCGTCATTTTTAAGACGATTGTTTTTTAAAAAAATTATCACAATATTTTATTCTGAAAGTAAGTAACCTTTTCTTTATTATTAAAATTATTCACAATAAGTATAATGAGTAAATGTTGATAACTAATGGCTACTCACCTAAAGGTAGTATTTACGGGGAGACATTCGGCATTGCCACACACGCAGTTACTTTTTTGGTATTATTGTTTTTTTTTTTTATTTATCTTAGTAGGTCTCTAGGGCAATGTCTTTTGAGTCTTCTGCATACATCACTGTGAATGAAAATTGAGGATTATTGTTTGAATAATGGGTTATGATGTGAGTTTAAGTTAGTATCAAATTTAAAGTAATATAATTTCGATAATTGATTAAGGGTAGGAATTTTTAGATCTTCATGAAGATTTTTGTTTGCGAAATACCAAGGAGAAGATGTTACTAATTGTAAAAGGTTGGATTGAAACGCCTGGAGCGTTTTGGTATTGGATGGCTTTGCAGAACTCTATGTCCAAACTAGTTGAATTATTGACTTGTATATTGTAAGTTTATTGGGTAGGGAAATTTTGGATTTCAAGAGCAGTTTTAGGAGGTGAAGCCTTAAGTTAACAATTTTATGCAAAATTTGTACGTGTGGACTCCAGGTTAGGAATTTATCTAAAGCTAAACCAAAATACTTAACTTCATTTGCTATTGTAATTGTTTGATTATTTAACTTAATAAGTGATAAATTGAGATTTCTAAGTGAAAAGGTTTCTTGAACAGATTTTATTTATATTATACTTATACGATCTGTGTTCTTATTCAATTTATAACTGTATATTATTTTACAATTAATGTTTTGTTATTTAATATACCTCCTATTTTTACAATAATTAATGTTTTGTTTTTCACTATACCTACTTTTTTCTATTAGATATGGTATCATCAACCGATATTTAATGATTTAAATACATTCAATAATGTGTCAACAGTATTACTAAAAATTTTCAAAATATTAATGAAGTGATCAGCCTACATCAGTCAAAATCCAAAAATGGACAATATAAATATCACAGAGCTGGCCGTGAGTTTAAATTAAAAAATAATAATGAGCATCTAATTTATAATTTATAATTTCGATAGTTTGCAATTATAAAATTTCATTGATAAATATTTTTATTCTACTTAGATTGAACCAGTAGAAAATGTCACAAGAATTTTGACCAGAGAAGAACAAATGAGGTATGCTCAAATCAATGTATTATAGTAATAAAAATAATTATATTTGATAAGTATACTTACTGGTTAGGTTAATACAACCACATGCATCATAATTATGGTGGACTAAATTTAAAAAATACAATAGTATAAACTATTTGATGTAAAATAATTAAACACAATTACTGAATTTGTTAACATTGATATTTTTTAATTATCCATGTATAAAACAGGATAGGTAATTCTTTTAAAGTTTAGATTAGTTGCCAGTTGGAAAATAATGTCATACAAAATATAAATTATTAATGTAGGTAACTATTTAGTACACATCTACAGTTATTGACTACTGTAAGACATCAGTTTGTAGCAGATTTCCTTTTTAATACAATATTTTATCTGAAGATTTTTAGTTATAGGAATCAAAATGAAAATTCCAAATTTAATAATAGTTATAAGTATAGATAGCTTGATTTTATCGACTTGTTTTATTATAAATGTCATCTAGAATCATTATTTATGTTTTTACAATTAAAAAATAAACAATAAAACCTTGCCATACTTTAATATGTGTAAATATATATTTATCAAAATCAACATTGTTAGTTAGAAATTTAAAATTATTAAATATATAAATTGTATGTTTTTTCTTTCTTAAAAAGTTCTTATGTTTTAATATGTTAGATTATAATTTAAATTTATTATGTTGTATTATAATTCTCAGGGAAGAACATAGAAAATTACATGAATTGCATAAAGGCCATGAGTCAATGCATGCTGAGATGCTGCTAATTTTAATGATTACCATGATTGTTGCACAAATAGTTTTAATAGAATGGAAAAGAAGACATTTTAGATCATTTCAAGTAAATTGTATTTTTAAAATTTATATTATGTTGTATTGTGCTAACTGATTCATTCTTTAGATTGTGACATCTTTAGCGTTATGGTTAATACCATTTATAATGTCCATTCGTATGTCATATTGGAGGTTTATTGTATTTTGGACATTATTTTCATTGATCACAGGGCTAGTGGTACGAAAAGCTTTAGAAAAACCTTTACAAGGATCAACACCTAGGTATGTTTTTATTCCTGTCACAAGGGTGCCCCTTAAAAACCAGAGCCATTTGTTCAAAATGTAAACTTCCCTCACAAAGTTAATAATCCTCATTAAATTAAAAACAAAATAACTAAAATCAGGATTAAGAATATTTCTCCTTTATATTTTTGAATACGTAGTTAAAATCATAATTATATTTATTATTTACTATATTTTGATCCCAACATTTAGGTTTTAATACCATCTTAGGGAGTTTTCAACCATTGTCCCATTATAAACATTGTAGGCGCCCTGGTCTTGTCATATTTATCGCTAAGGCGAGCACTTATATAAAATAATACATCATGTTGTATATAGTGTGATGGCATAAATGTTATCCAGATTGGTGTACAAATGGTTCTATTTCATCTACAAACTAACATACGTACTTGGTATTGTTGGATACTTTATCATGGTTGCTGCATTCTTTGGCATCAGTGTTGTATTCAATRTTAACCCAGCTGTATGGATGGATTATGGATTAATGATTATGTACTATGGGTTGTATTTTGGTGTCTTAGGACAAGATATTGCCGAGATATGTGCATCTAAAATGGCTGCACACTTGGGAGTAAGAATTTTAAATTTATAAAATAAGTTATGCAATGACATAATACTTATTCTTTGTATAAATTATTTAATTTTTTTAAAGCACTTTGCTAAAAAAAATTTTGCAAGAAATAGCAATTACTCATAAATTCCTTATTTATGCTGGATCTAAACAATTTTAACAATAGCCACATTATATAAATTTTGGTATAGTATTAAAAAAATGTGATGAGTATATAGTTATAGATAAAGACCGGATTTATATGCATTTTAAATTGTAAAATATGCATGCAAACATGCACTAAAAAAAGTCAACATATGCAATAAAAAAAAAAGCGGGTAAGTCGTGGATGTCGCTYTGCTGTACTGTAGGTTACTGTAATGGATGGGATTAAATTTGAATGCAATGATAGGTATCATTGTATACGAAAAACGATTCTGAACGGAGATGATTTGTCATTCTATTTAAATATTGTCATATAT